TCTCTCTCTCTCTCTGTGTCTTTTTGCAGGAGAAGTCTTCGACTACCTGGTTGCACATGGAAGAATGAAGGAAAAAGAGGCCAGAGCTAAATTTAGACAGGTACCCAGCTTTCTCCCCCTGCAGTGTTCTGGTTTCACACCTCTGCTCTCGGCTCTACCTCAGACAGGTCGCTGTCCTCTGTCCCGCTTCTGGGATAAAAAAAAAAAAACCCTGTCTGTTGTCTTAAGACTGATGAGAAATGTCCAAACCTGCCTCTTCCCCCATCACTTACCACCTCAACAACTGTCACACAGTTCAAAGTCAATGAGTGTTATGTGATGATAAGACACCGGCCGCACATTTAACTACTTTATGTTCTCAAAGGAGGGTTTGAAACTTCTAGAGACACCAAAATTACACCACGAGGCACGGAAACACTCATTCAAACCACAAAATGAAAGCGTCATCGTTTGTGAGTTGTACACAACTGTCATCAGCACTCGAATGTACACTTCCTGCCTGAGAATGCTCTGTCTCCCTCGCGTTTTCAGTTTTGGTGCAATCTGCAGTCGGTCAAGGGTCAGTTCACAGTTCAACTTTGACCGGTTGAATGTGCACAGTCAGCCAGTAGAAACCGTGATGCATTGGGTATTGTGAAAGTGACACATCATCATTGTAGTGGGTGTTATCACCGTGTTTATTGTGTACAGTATCACGCTGAAACATTGGCTCCCACGGATTGTTTACAGCGTGTGATCACTTTGCTAAATGTTGATTTTGACAGTTTAGTTGTTGGGAGGCTAATGTGACCGTACCTTATAAAGCCGCTGTAAGCTTACTACAAGGAGTATTTAACTGGCTAGTTTAATACTAATTCCTCTATATGACCTACATAAACAAACAAGAACCGACACTGGCTCAGATTTTTGTCGGATCCCCCTTAAAATCAATGAAACCAGGCGGTGGAAACACCATCGCTTTTGTCCACAGAAGCTGCCAGAATCAACAAAAGGTTCCTTGTAAGAAAGCTTTTAAGTATTTCTCATTCCTGAAACACAAAGTTATTTGTTTTGGCATAAAAAAAACTTAGTGTTTATGTATAATTACGTTTACAAAAAGGTTTAAAATGCGAAAACATAGAGTGATTGTTAAATGAAAATCTACCTTTTGTTTTTTCTCTTCTACTTCATGAAGCATTTCTTAGCAGCAGTGTAGAATTGGAAATATTGCCTTTAAACACAAAAGAAACAAATGTGGATGATTGTACTGCATTAACAGGAACTCTGAATGTGTTCATGCTAGCAGAGGGATTTCTTACACAGAGCTGGAACGTGTGAATGTTCAGTTTTACAGTCATGATAATGTTTTAAGGCATTTTACCACCACGGTGAACACCTCCCCCCAATTTAAGTCTGAGCTGAAGATGCAAGAGAATTAGAAATTGAACAAAAAGCAAGAAAAAAGGTGTCAATATTTTAAGTGTGTGTGTGTGTGTGTGTGTGTGTGCGTGTGCCCTGCAGCCTGTCTGTACAATTAGCACAGGCTGTTACCTGCACTGTGAGACAGATACATGAACAATGAGCCACTGCAGAGGAAACTTGTTCTCTCTCTCACCCTTCTGGTGTCTTCAGCCCCACCTGCACTATGTTTTATCTTTCCTGTCAGTGTCGACCACATCTCCTCCTCCTCCCTCTCCTCCACTTCCACCTCCACCACATCCTTTTATCACGGCCTGAGAACAGAACAGCAGACATTTAACTAAACTCTGCTTGTCTTTTTCCTCGTGCAGATTGTATCGGCGGTGCAGTACTGCCACCAGAAGCACATTGTTCACAGAGACCTCAAGGTGAGTTCAGAGACACCGCGCCAGTCGGTAGCAAGAAGATTATCTCAGAAAGAGGCTGGGGCAACTTTTATTCTGCTTCAATCGACCTGAAAGCAACGCAGCCACATGATTGGGTTGTTCAAAAGTGTGCAGCCATTATCACCAGCAACATCACTGTGTTGTCTGGAGTTCAGGGCTTTTGGTGAAATGCAGGCAATTACCAACCACAGTGAAGGTTGAAAAATTTAACAAAAAAACTGCAAATGACCTCAATTTAGAGTCCAAACTATAAAAGTTTAAGAGTTTTTATTGTACATGTATATTTTTTTGGCAAGATTTGGTTATTAAAGTGTTATAACAAAGACAACAACGACAATAAACCTTTGTATCAAATATGAGCAGCAGAAAAAAACAACAGAAATATGTTAAACTTTAAGTAGAATTACAGCTAGTTGATCAACATAATATTAATTGGCAACTATTTTAATGATAAATTAACTGGAGTCCTTTTCTAAACCTAAATTTACTGGTTTCATCCTCTCAAACATGAATATTTTCATGTTTTCTTATGATAACAAACTAAATATCTTTATGTTTTGGGCTACTGGTCGCACAAAACAGGCGATTTAAATATGCCAGCCGAGGGTTTGGGACTTCTTAAGGACCAAACAATTAAATGAGAAAATAATGAACAGATTAATTCATTAATTTTCGTGCCATACGACTGCAACGGTCCATCCCACACGCAATTACGTGACACCCAAAAAGATCCAAAGATCTCATACTGTACATGTTCCTAAACCAAAGAATATAAAGTAAAGCAGAAACAGAATATAAAAAACATTTATAACTGAGTTTCTTTATACAGTTTCACCTTGTTTTTGTTATGTTTTATAGTTTTTATTTGATATTTGTGGGATTAAAACTGTTTGATATGATGCAGAGGTTGTTGTACAAAATAACCTCTGTCTTCCATCAGGATATAAAACAAAATGCATTTAATTTTCATTTTAATTAACTTTAATAAACGAGTGAGCCTCGTCTGGTTCACACACATCAGCTTGAACGTTCAGATTTACCGGCTTTGATCACAGATTGAGGATATCTGTGTATTTTAATTGAATGTCAGAGATTTTATTGCATGTTTTTAACTCTCGTTTGCAGCTGCAGGAAAAGGAAAGTTCACATTTAAGATGCTAATTTGCCGTGTAGAACTAAAATTACTTCACATTTTTAGTCGTATCCATGTTAATCAGCGGCCCTGTGAAGGGTTTAAATTAGGGTCTAAGTGAGTGTAAGTGTCTCCACCGTTGAGGCTAATTAACTCTGACTCATTTCGGATGGAAAGGTCAGAGCGGGGAGCTGACGTCAGTGTTACGTTATTTATGACTCTCCTCTTAACTCCCATATTCCCACTGACTACTCCAAACATTTCCAAAAAAACGCTGAATACGCTGCTAATGAGGCTCCACTCTGTTTTCTGACTGTCTCCTTTTTTTAAAAACGTATCCTTACACCACAAAGTAGACGGCCCTCTCTTAACTGCTCACATGTTCTGCGCCACATCACCCGTCGTAGCGTAAATGGACCACCTCCCCTCATTTCGCAGACGTGACGAGCTTTTTACTTCCCCCAGAGTAGAAATATTGATGCTTCTGTATTTTTATCCCCCCTCCCTCCCTCGCTGTCAGTGGGAGTCGCTCAGCTAAGAGAAGTCCGTGTATCTTTCTGCATGTCTAAACCATTTCCTGTGTGGAGCTTCATGAATGATCCATGAGGACGTGAGAGCAGTGTCTTCTCCCTGTGTTTGTCGACGTGTCCGTATGTCGCAGGTGTGATTGTGGAGAAGCATACGAGGTTAAATTTTAACCACCAAATGAACCACAATCCCTCCGGGCTTGTAGCCTCATTTCATTTACTCTCAGGGCTTCACTCGTGTCTCCCACCGAGATTAGATGTTTTCTTTTGGCGTTGATAACGGTCAGACACGTTGCAAGTGAGTGTTGTTTACCTCTCACGAGCAGCTGAAAGCCTCTCAGGTTGCCTGGTTCGGTCCTTTCGGCTCAATGGAAGATTTCTCGGCTCTCTCTCTGCTTCAGCTTCCTAATTAGTCTTTCGCCTACAGCCGCGTGTGAGCACCGAGCAGATGTTTGAGTTGAAATCCTCGTCTGTGTTGGAACACTTTCAATTGCAAAAGGAAAAGGAGATGTTAACTGTTGTATTAGATCAGACTGTATCAAAGCAGATCACTCTGGGTTTGGAAAAGTGAATATTAGAGCAGTCAATTAATAAAGCAACATAAATTATATCAAACATTGTTTAGATCCAGCTTTTCAAAGGTTTTTCTCTGTTTTATATTGTTGGCAATTGAATATCTTTGGGTTTTAAACTGTTGTTCAGGAGAAAAAAGGTATTTGAAGACGTCACTTTAGACTCTCGTAGCTTGTTATTGGCATCATTTTGTTTTTTATATAATTTTCTGGCAGTTTATATACTTAACAATTAAATTAATAGTTCCTCTTTTTGAGAAGTGCACTCTCATTCACTTTCTTGCCAAGAGTTAGATGAGGAGATTTAAACCACTCTCATGTCTGTGCAATAAAATATGAACCGGCAGCCGCTTAGCTTAGCATAAAGACTACCCTGGCTCCAAACGTATCAAAGCACACCAGCACCTCTAAAGCTCACCAATTATGATAGATTATAGATTTCTTGGCTAGACACAAAAGGCAAATAAGATAATTTCCCAAAAGATCAAACTATATATTTTAATCATTTAGTTAAAAGCAAGAAATTATAGATTAATCAATAATGAAAATAAAGTTTCTGTTAACGTGAGCAGCCAAACAAACTCTGACATTAATGTGTTCGTACTCCAGGCCGAGAACCTGCTCCTCGACGCAGACATGAACATCAAGATCGCAGATTTCGGCTTCAGCAATGAGTTCACTATGGGCAACAAGCTGGACACGTTCTGCGGTTCTCCGCCATACGCGGCGCCGGAGCTTTTCCAGGGGAAGAAGTACGACGGGCCGGAGGTGGACGTCTGGAGTCTGGGGGTCATTCTGTACACGCTGGTCAGCGGCTCGCTGCCCTTCGACGGACAGAACCTCAAGGTAGGATACTGTGAATGTACTGATACAGTTACCGTGCTGTATGTTATCACCTGATCTTATCTAGAAATACCTTTTTGTCATTGTTGCCTTAGTTTGTGACGTTAC